TGGCTTAGTGCCATGTCCCTCCCTGAATGTTCAACATCATATTATTCCTTCTGTGTGGGTTCCTGACCCTAAGTTATGTGGACTCTTTCTGTAGGTGTTTTCTGGTCCATTTTGCTCAAAAAAGCCTCCTTGAATTCCAAATTCCATGCCTTTGCTAAACTCTGAAGTTTAATCCATCTTCTGAGTTTAGCCCCCGACTCCTAGACCTCCTCATCCTGCATTTAACATCCTCTGTAATCCCTGTAGTAATCTAGTCCTGCCTATGGACTTGAGGATGCCAGCAGAGTGAGCTGGTTAAGGCAAACTTTGATAGAAAAGCATCTCAAGACAACCTACACAGGGAAAGGACATGAAATTCAATTATCAATGAAAACTGCAAATACTTACACCAGAACCTAATTGGCCATGAGGATCTGGCTCCCTTAACCACTGCACTATGCACCCAGCCCTTTGTTAAAGATCTTTTTATAATACTTAGCACAGAGTAAATGTCAAGAAATGTTAGGATACAGTTATGTAGTTGCATGGTAAATCTATTTTCTAATCACCTAAAAAGTAGAAAGTATTAGCATTGCAAATTGTTATCGATTTTTTATTTTGAAAATGTCAAGTGATAGACATATAAAATATCTAATTAAAAAGAAAAAGTTTGCACATCTGTTAGTCAGTCCCCAGTTCCTATAGGACTGTTTATTCAAGCTCTCCCTTTTTAATTGTTTCGCTGTGCCACTTGGAGTTTAATTAGATTTTCTTTCTACTATAGAATTGAAGGAAATACATTAATTAAAAATTTTCTAATGCAGAAGCTGATGTAAAAATAAAAGTAAATCTTTCCCTCCCAACCCAGGCTTCCTATTCTTTTTTTTCTCAGAATAATTGTTACATTTATAAAATTCTTACCAATCTTTCAAGCTTCTGAACCTGTATTCCTCCCCCCCACACACACACACACACAAAGGAGATATTGTAATAATCCTCTGGAAGTTGCTTTATCAGCTAACACAGTTATGTATTACATAACATAACATATACTGGGACCAGCAGATAGCGTAATGGCTATGTCGCTGGACTCCCATGTAGTCGATCGTGGCTCAAGTCTCGGACCGGTGGCTTAAACTCACGCCAGGAGCTTGCCCAAGATCCCAGGAGGAGAATGGAGGAGAAGGGATAGCGGCGTGTCCATCTCCCCTGGGCGGTGATTTCTCGCTTTCTGTCTCTCTGTCTCTTTCTTTCTGGCGAGCACACACACCCTGTAGCAAAACCTCTCCCCAAAAAATGCAAAAACAAAAACATTCCCTTCTACTGCATCTTTTCATTCTGTTGTTTTTTGTTGTTTTGTTTTTGCTATAAGGTGCATGAGCTTGCCAGAGAGAGACAGTGATAGAAAGAGAGGGAAAGTAAGAAATCATTCCCAAGGGAGATGACCACACTGCAATCCTTTCTCCTTCATTCTCGTCTCAGGATTTTGGACATGTATGCACATGCATCAGCATGTTTATCATGTCACCAGGTCCGGGACTCAGACTGCTCAGTCAGCCATGTGGAAACCAGTCACTTTAGCCTCCACGCCACCTACTGGCCCCTCTACTATATCATTTTTGGTGGTGTTGTTGTTCAGTTGTTTGTTTTTTAGTGGTTTTGACCCTAAGGCATTTGCGCTCATCAGAGACAGAGAGAGAGGCAGAGACGGTGAGAAGAAAAGTGAGAAATTGACCCCCCTTCAGGGGGGTTGGCTATGTTGTAATCTCTTCTTTATTCTTTCCTAGGGATCTTTGGCACACACACACACACACACACACACACACACACACACCTGTCATGAGTTTCAAGCCACTGGGTTAGGGACTCAGATTGTGGTAGGTCATGTGGGAGTCCAGGGACATAAACACTATACCATATGCTAACACCTCTACTACATCATCTTAATGGCTGCACAGTAGACCTCTGCTAAGATGCAACATACTTTCAGGAGTTTTTCTATTGGTTGGTATTGAGACCTTACTTCTGGCCATTCTTCCTTTTTAAATTGCTAGAGAGAGACAGAAAAAGAGAGAAAGAATTCCCTGAAAAGCCATGGTTACAGTGAAATACCTTTTCCTCCATCTCCGCAACCTGTTGGAATTTTGAGCATGTGCTTTTCAAGCTGCTGGGGCAAGGATTCAGACTGCAGTTAGCCACATGGTAACCAGCTTCCTTAACCTCTAGGCCATGGGACTGCCCCCGACCATTTTTCTTGTTTTAAAGTTTCTCTGGAGAGCCTAGAGAAAGTCACGTCCCTAGATGTTAATCCTGCTTCTCAAACAGACCTGTTTGGCCTAGTGATTGTAGGTAACAATGGCCTGACCATGGCGTAACACTGCATGATGATTACCAAAACAGTTTTATCCACAGTAGAGTTACGCTCAGACATTCTTTTGTGCTGACTCCACATTTCTTCTAAACAAAGTCTTGTCTTGTGCATTTAACCCAGGGCTAGCATAAGAATTGCTAACCCACCTATCACCTGTGAGCCCCACTTCTAGATGTCCTCCGTTTGGGGGCCAAAACAAATGGAAAAACTCCCCATGTTGGTTAACAGTTTTGCTTCTATCCCTTGCCCTCAAGAAATGTAAAAGAGCTGCTGTAACCTAAACCCTTAGAACATTTTCTCAAGGCTACTTAAATCTGTGTCTTCCCAGGAAACGCTTACTCATGTTTGCTAAGAATAAACCACTTTCTTTTTATTTATTTATTTATGTTTATTTTTTTGAGAGGTTTTTGCTATAGGGCGTGTTCGCTCGCCAGACAGACAGCGAGAGACAAAGAGACAGAAAGCGAGAAATCACCCCCCAGGGGGGATGGCCGCACCGCAATCCCTTCTCCTCCATTCTCCTCTTGGGATCTTGGGCACGCACGCACATGCACCCAGTGTGAGTTTTAAGCCACCGGGTCCGGGACGTGAACTGCGGTTGACTATGTGGGAATCCAGCGACATAGCCATTATGCTAACTGCTGGTCCCCAAGAATAAACCACTTTCAATATTGTACGGTTCGGTTCGCTTCTTTTCATCATTACCACATTTTATACTTGTGATTTCTGTTTATGTAAACATGGATGTCTTATACATTTTTGCATATATATGTATGTATATATATATATATGTGTATATATATATATATATATACATATATATATATGTATGTATTTGCACACTTTGACAAGAATATGTTTAAGACAAATTTCTAGAAATGCCACTACTAGGTCAAAGATAATGATATAAATTGTCCCCTAAGCCACGAGGTGGCACCAGATTGCATTCCTCTCTCTCAGTGATGTGTTAGAACAGCTGCTTCCTGCTACCTCCCACCATATGTATTATCCAAGTTTTAAATTGTTTCAATCTAAACGAAAACTATTCTCTTTGTAGTTTTAATTTTTACTTTCTAAATTATGCGTGAAATTGAGCATTTGTTCCACATTTATTACCCTTCAATTTTTATGGAAAAATCTGTCAGAGTATTTGTCCATTTTTCTATTAATTTTCTTGGGAATTTGTAAGTGTTCTTTCTATATTAAAGAAATTCATTCATGGTCTGTCATATGAGATGCAATGTTACAATTTAAAAGGAAAACATTTGTGTCACTAACATCACATTTATATCTACATGTTACACATGTAGATATTCCAAATATAGAGCTACAAGAGAAACATAAAATAAAAAAATTAAAACTGATTTTATGTTATAAAAGTTAAATATATAAATACAATAAATGTCACTAGGATTTTATTATTGTACTTAATAAAATGTAGTAAGCAATATCAACTAATAGATCATTTATTTACTATATTTATTTATACAAATGATTCACAGCTATAACTGACAATATTTCAGTATTTATATCATTTTATAAAAATGTACTGTACTAGGAATTGAGCCTTGTGTGCCTGGCCCGAACAGGCTGGGGAACTTACCTCTTTAATACACTACTTATAATTATTTCATGGTAGGTATATAAAAACCATAAAGATATTTGGTTAGCTATTTCTAGAAGAAAACAGTATTTACCAAAAAAGAGTTGATAATAGCAAAGGGAACTAAGATGATAATGCATAAATTATAAATTCTAGTGAGTGTATGAGTTTGTAAAATCCTCATTTTCCATTGAATAATGCCCTAATTAGACTATAAATTTTTTATTGTTGTTTCTGAGAGATTTTTGCTATAGGGCTCATGCGCTTTCTGGAGAGACAGGGATAGATAAACAGAAGGTGAGAAATCACCCTCCAGAGGTTTTGGCCATGCCAAAATCCCTTCTCCTCCATTCTCCTCTCGGGATCTGGGCATACACACACATGTGCCCAGCATGAGTTTTAAGCCTCCGGATCCAGGACTCAAATCATGGTTGACTACGTGGGAGTCCAGCAACATAACCATTATGCCATCTGCTGGTCCCTATGTTGCATATGAATATAAACTATATCTTAAGGTTCTTTATATGCTCCATATAGTGTGAAACACTAACAGTGTTTCATATTTTGCAGACTAAATAGGAAGTCAACAGACATTTGTAATTATCTTGAGTTTTAACACCATATAGTAGGTCTTAAATATAAGCTAGTAATTTCATGATGAATACATTTATTTCTCATATATAACTAAGCCTACTATGTCTGATTCATAATTCCTTCACAGATATAACCCTACTTTTAGATCAATTAAATAATTAAGAGATTTTCTTTACCTATTTGAATTTATCTAAAAGGATCTAATATTTACTATGATGTTAATATTTTGCAGCAGTATATTTTAGAAAAATGTAAGTATAGGAAAAATTATAGATTATATAAAAAATGTTTTAAGTAAAGTTCAACATTATCTAACAATGACTATATGCTCACCTGTCCTCGGAGCTGTAGGGTGCCCTAATCATGCGAAAACGGTGTCTACTGACTAATGCTATTAATGAAGTTAATTCATATAGCTTAAAATTGAATAAAATAAGTTTAGAGGTCATCTGTTTATAAAAGTGCAGACAGAGGTGATTCTGGTATCCTTAGGTTTCTCTTGCCCCACATGTGCCTTGATCTGTGGGAATAACCTGACTTAGAAGATTGTGTAGATCCAGGACTCTGAGACTGTGGAGGTGTCCTCCGCATGAGGTTCCGGGAAATGGCCCTGTGAAGATTCTTCATGGAAGACTCTGCAGCCATGGTGATCACCCAGGGATGGTCCAGGGCCTGGCCAGCTGACATGCGATGACTAGCCTCTGAAATCAAGAGTTTATCTATAAAGTCCTTTGCCATGTGGGAAATACTCGGCCAAGGCTGAAAAGAAAAATAAAGCAGAATGAAGTAAGCAATAAATATGTACACTCAAAAAACATAGAATCACAATCTTTATGTTTTAATTGCCACAAGGCATGTGGGCTCACCAGGGAGAGAGAGTCAGACAGAAAGAGAGTGACAAAGTATCTTCCATGGGGCATAGTCATATCACAGTCCCTTCTCCTCTGTTTCTCCATCTTATCAGGATTTGGGGCATGTACACATGTTTACTGTGCATTTTCATCAAGCCACTGGGACAGGGTTTAAACTGCAGTTGGCCATGAGAGAGCTGGCTCCCTTAACCATGAGGCAATAGGACCGGCTCAGAGGATCTTATTCTTAATCATACTGATCAATGACCAACAAAATAACAACAACAGAAAAAAAAAAAAAAACCTTTTCAAATAAGCAATTAGAATATAAAACATTTCCCAGACATAAGAATGGAAATGTATCTGTTGAGAATAATTTGTATGGTAATATTTTTGACTTTGAGTGACATGTAGTCTATGTATGCTTTGAAAACTATGTCATATGCTATAAAGATGGGAGGTGAAAAGTGGAATGGATTGAGCAATCATCATCTTCTCTCTCTCTGAAAACTGACTCTGAACTTAGGATGCCTCTATCGTCATAGTCTGGAGACACAAGAGGGAGAACAGTAAGGGCACTTCAGCAAAGGATTCTCACGCAGGGCAGTTCCTTGAACACACAGGGCCTTCTTTGTTCCTAATCCATTGCTACAAATGGTGTTCAGCATGTAGCAGAGCTAGGACTCAGTGCAATGTGCACGACTAGCTAGTCCACATTTCGCGCACTTGCTGGCAACATTTGCAGCTTTGCACATTCTTCAAGTACAATAAGCCATGATTCGTAGTGCCATTTGTTAGGGTAGAGGCCAAAGGGCTGTTTATTTATACTCCAACTTGTTTTCTGTATTACCTACAAACACCCAGCATATACCTAGAGAAAACCGTCATTTTGTACCTCTCACCTTCTAAAAGTGGTAAGCACTGAGAAAACTTTATTTTGTTTTGTTCTAATTTGCTGTAGGGCATGTATACTCACTGAAGACAGAGAGAAAAAGTGAGAAAGGACCTTCCTAGGGGAAACGATCATGTCACAGTCTTTTCTCCTTCATCCTTCTCAGGATTCAAGGCAGGCACACACATGTGCCCAGTGTGTTTTTCAAGCAGCCAGGTCAAAGACTTGAACCACACAGATAGCCATGTGAGAGCCAGCTGTGTTAACTACCACACTACCTGGCTAGCCCAAACAAATTGTGTTTTTTTAAGAATCACATCTCCCAGAAAAGATAAGAAAGTCCTTACTCTGTATAAGGAAAAATCAAACTCCCTCCATAGACAACACACTCCCCATCTCTTACCACTCTCTATTGACTTAGAATTTATTTTGTTTTGTTTGTTTCTTCCACAAGACAAAGAGATGAGAGAGAGAGAAAAAGAAGTAGAGAGACCCCAACAGGGTGTCACAATCTACTCCAGGCCTCAACCGGCCTCAGATTATGGGCACATGCATGCTCACCACACTTAGAGAGGTCTCCCAGCATGTACTCAGAACCTTCCCGTGTGGGTTAGCCTCACAAAGCACTGCAGGTTATCCCAGCACCACTGTCCAGCCCCCAATTAACCTAGAATTTAAATAAAGAGAAGCCAATAAAGGAAGTATTTTTTTTTTGTTCCTTCAGCTTATTTAGGCAAATGAGAAACATTCATCCCCAAAATAACAGTCTTAAAATAAATGAGCATATTTTGCCCAATACTCAAACACAGGAAAAATAAAAAGTAAACCCGGCAAGTCTAGACAGAATGCATCACTGGCCGACACTCACAATGGCATGCCCTCTGATTCTGGCTAGACATCTATTTGGCCCTGGAACCAGACACATTTATCTGAGCTCAAATATTTAAATGAAAGTTAAATTGAATGTCTTCAGTGGAACATTTTAAGACAAGCAAGTGAATATCTCTGAAAGAACAAAAAATGTGTGCAGCAAGGTTCATGGAGCACTCACTACGATGACCCCAAATCAATCTATCTGTAAAATGCAGTTCCAGAAAGCAAGATAACTGGCATGCTGAAAGAAGAGGCCTTCTACCAAAATGCATTACTCGAACATGAGTTATAAATTCCAGAATTCCCATGTCATAAAGAAAAACTAGAGAGGATCTAGGGGTTAATTTCACATTATATATTAGAAAAGGTTAGAAGAAAACAAACTTTTATTTTCACTTCTTAACTAAGATTGGTTTTAGTTTATGTTTAATAAAGTAAAAATAAAGTAGTATCCATATACATATGTATTCTATAAGTGAATAAAAACTAAGACTACATGCTCAAAAATTTTGACTGATAGTATTACGTAGCCAAAAACAATTAGGAGACTATTGGTTGACTCAAATTCCAATGTTGGAAGTCACCTGGTTAATTATCTAGATTTGATTAGCTTTCAGAAAAACTAAAAATATCTATTTTTCTTAGCTAAATGGATAATTTACATTATAACCCTTGGACTAAATGCACTAAGTATCATTTCTTTTCTCAAAAGGCCTGAATTTTATTTAAAAATATATGCTGTTTGGCATAATGGTTACGTCACTGAAAGCCCACATAGACAATGGCAGTTTGAGTCCTGGACCCGGTGGTTTCAAACTCACATTGGGTGCATGTGTTTGCTTACCCAAGAGAAGAATGGAGGAATGGGGATTGCAGCATGGCCTTCCCCCGGGGGGTAATTTCTCACTTTCTCTCTGTCTCTGTCTGTCTCGCTGGCAAGTGCACACGCCCTATAGCAAAAATTTCTCTCTAGAAAAAAATTAAAATCTGCTGGTTACAACTCTCTGACTTGCATTTTTCTTCCCTCTTTGAAATTTAGTGGATGGTCTTGATAGGATTTAACTTGAAATTTTCAATCAAATTTTATGTGAATGTGCTCAAAAGTACTGACCAACTCTATGACTTTGTTAGTAGTAGAATGAATAAAATCATTCCTCCTCATCCAGATGGCAGCAGATTCTATATATCATCTTTATGTCACAGGCATTTAAAATTTTCTTTATTTCCCAGTCTATAAAGCAGATTTAAAATTATGCTTTATCTTTGCCAAAGCTGCAATGGCTCAAAAACAATAAGCAATTGTGTGAAATTCTCTCTCTGGGCCCAGCAGGTGGCATGAAAGTTAACACAGCTGGATCCCATATGGTCAACTTTGTGGTTTGAGTCCCAGGCACAGCAGCTTGAAAAGCACACCAGACACGTACGCATGTGTGCCCAAAATCTTAACAGGAAAATGGAGAATAAAGGACTATGGTGTGGCTGTTGCCTCTGGAGGAGGATGATTTCTCACTCTCTTTCCTTCTCTCAAGAAAGTTCATGCAACCTATGTGGGAAAAAAAAAAAAAAGAAATGCTTTATTTATTGAAGTATTTGTAAACTCTGGTGAAAAAAGTGAATACATAACCACAAGTTATTATAGGTGATATCTAATTTTAAAAATGGGAAGAGTTCACTAATTCTTCACCACATTCACAAAGAGGTACTGTGTGAATGAAGAGGTTGTTACTGTGAGAAAAGAGATGCTTCCACTGTTCTACCAATAAGGAAAACACTGAGATTTAAAGAGAGGGTTAAGTTTGTTGAGTACCTACCATTCCTTGAATTACCAGAGGTTAAAAAAGAAGAGAGTTCTATTTTTTTTTTCAGGAAAAAATAAGAATATAAAAAGAGCAACCCAAAAAATTGGGTTGGCCTTTTGTTTTTAAGTTTATTTTATTTCTTCCATGGGAAAGAGAGAGGAATAGAGATTGTACTCCAATACGGTCCTCACGCCATGATCCAACCCATCTCAGCTGGCCCACATCCAGGCATGTGCATGTCTAGTATCCTCAGGGATATTCCAGGAGAGAGACCCAAGACCTTTCCCATGTGGATCCATTTGCATTACCACTGCAACACCACCTAGCCTTAGCTTGGCTTCTGAACTCTAAATCAACAACCGACTCATTCTTCTATATGTAATATACATTTAGAACTAATTCCTGTAATATAACCCAAAACATAAACATTATAAATATAATATTAAATCCATATACTTCTAAGTTTCTAAACTTAGAGTTAAAAATGATTGCCTCCTGAACTCTGTGAATTCCATTGATGATACCAAGGTCAAGAAGTACAAGGTAATCAAGAAAGCAGAAGACATAACTCCTTTTCCAATCCAAACACTACCTCATATATCTAAAGGAACCATATACACAGTCAAAATGAAATATAGTAGCACCATTTCAATTCCTAGAAACGCTCATTACTCATGATTGGATTTAAGGGAAGATTTATTTCCATTCAATTTAAGGTAAGTCGGGGAAAAGATTGAAGTACATTATGAAAGATTTTATAACCATCGAAATTATTTTCCATAAAGTAATTTTAAAGTGAAAATATTATTTAAAAATATTGAGCATGCTATATTCTTTTTAAGTATAAGTATTTAGAAATGAAACCGTAGGAATGGAAAACAAATGACAAAAATTAAAGTTTGGCAGATCTAACTGAGATATGGTATAATATTCAATACTGGAATTCTACTCATGACGAAAGCAAATTAAAGTATTGAATCTTCTGCTCTCCTCTCCATTCTTCCTTCTTAATAACCTGAATGGAAAAGAAATGTAGTAAAGATAGGATACAAGAAATAGTGAGATAAGGGGATAGAACAAAATTGTGGTCCTGGTTGATAAAAATAAACATAATCTATCAGATGTGTTCTTTCTAAGAGAGTATACCAATAAACATTTTTTTTTCCCTAACAGTATGGAAATCACTGGTATATCTAAGCAGGTGGAGGCCATTTATTTATATGAATGTCCATGAGAGATTTTTAAAATGTGTTTTTAATGCTAGTGTTTATCCCTGTAAGCTAGCTCTTAAGGTTATAAGACTTATTTTATTATCTATTTATTTCACATTAAAAAGATATGACT